GGAAAAGAGCCTACGTTCAGCTTAAATGTTATCAGGGACTTCTACTGCCTCAACAAGGTTCAGCTAGAATTGTTATTAACACAGTAAGTTAACTGCCCAATAGGCAGAAGTAAGACAAAAAGAAGTGGAGGTATTAAAATGCTTTTTTTTTTCTACTCCTGTTTTTCCCTTAAGATCTTCAGAATCAAAGAAGCCTCCAGAGGTGTGCAGATGGCTGCAGAGAGACAGTCCAACTACCTGGCAGCAGTTAGAGAGAAAGGACAGGATTTGAACAGTTCCACAGTTTTTAGAACGTGGTGAGGACAACTTCCAGAGACAGAGATGGAACAAGCTAACAGAAGAGAGACAATTTTATACTAGAAATAGTGAAAATTACAAGTTTTTCTATAGATACAGCAGCTAAGACTGTCAGGTTGGAATGCCATTTGAATAAAAGCCCTCAGAATCAGAAATATCAGGAAAAGAAGGAAATAGTGCAGAGAAACAATGATGATGGAGAACAAAAACACCAAAAAAAAATCAAGGGAACAGGTTCCTTTGGAATAAATTCTATGAGCAAAAGTAGTACAGGATAGCTGGATGTTATCAAGAAGCATATGTACAACTCTAAGTACAGCTTTACAAATGGCTTCTTAATTTAATAATAGATATAAGAACTATTAAAAAGTACTACTTATAACCATAATTAAATTTACATCACAAAAGCACACTATCCTGATGTGATCATGAGCAACACAGTTTTGCCAAAGCTTCCTGAACTGACAATCAGAAGCTTCATGCAAATAAGTGGTGACAACAAAGACAGTGATAATGACACAGTGATGACACATCATTAAAGGTGACACAAAGAAACAGCCTAAGAATTTTGAAACAAAATCAGAAAGACACATGCATGAGAGAAAACAAGAAAGAAACAGTAACAGAAAAAGCTTACACAAATAAACCACAGATAAAAAAAATGGGATTTTCTAAACATGAAAGGAGCTCTTTTCTCAAGAAGAATGGAGAAAAAACCCGCAAGTTATGTTTAGATACATTACATGTAAAACTTGCTAACTGCTAGCAAAAATCTTCAAGGTCTTGTGGTGAAAAGGAGAGCAGCAAGACAACTGTGAAGAAAAGCAAACCTGCATAGTCTTTTTAGGAAAAGCATATAAGCATATATAAATTATAATATTCACAGTGATCACATTACTAAATAAACAATACACATAAAATCTTGGAGGAAAAGGTGATAAAGATACTGTAGATTTCTTGGGGATAAATCACATAAAATACTGAGTTCTTTTATGAAGTAAATAGATTGATGGCTCAAAGAAAAGCATATGCTACTGCTTAATATTAGTACAATTTTTGACACTACACCGGTGATATATTGCTTCCAAGGAAAGAGCAATGTGCTCTAGCTTAAATCAACACAGGAGCCTGGTTTGGAAACTGTGGTCAGGATTCTGCAGTAATCTGTACCAGTCTGCCTCTTGCCATGTTTTCCTTTTTTTTATATATAAAAAGCTCTGATGTACATTTGCCAAGTTGTCATTGATATCTCACCCAATACTTGGCACATTAATATAAACAAAACACTCATAATTAAGTTTGAATACTGGAAACTATATGTTCATTTTGAATTATATCATTGTGTAACATTACATATTTTAGGCTCTTTTTTCCCTTCTTTGCTCTTGTGTTTGTCTCACCTTGCACACTCCTCACCTCAACCAGAATATCCAAACTTATGTTCCCTTCCAAAGGATAATAAAATCACTGTCATGGCACTATTTAGTTTCTGTTTTCTCTATATTGCATTTGCTTCTGTTTCAGAAGTAATACAATTTTGTCTGTTTTGGGCTAGTGAGTACTTGCTACGAACTAAGTAAAAATTAAGACTTTAGGTCATGATCTATTATTTACTTTCCCTAGCCCCTCCCTGTTGTGCACACCCTAACTAAATACAAGTTAATTTCCCTGTAAATATTTAATAACCTTTACTTCCTTCAAAAGTAAACTCAATCAGTACTTTTTGATTGCATGACTGTACTGCTGAATTCACTTCTTCAATGTAAATTTGATATCAGACAGTTAGATTTTTTTTCGTGCATTTTCCTAGAATGAACATACAAAGAAGGGAGATCCATGTTCATCTGAGCAATACATGAAGGCAATGGTATAACAAAGAAAGGTAGCATTTTCCAAATGAACAGTTCAGTCAAAAACACAGTGATTGTTCACAAATTATTTCACTTTCTGAAAATAACAAAAGCAAGTGAGATAAGCCACATCCTTAAAAGGTAAACTGTGATTTTTGACAAAGCACCAGACAGTAATTAAGCTAACGAACCACTTAATATTTCTGTCTTTCCAGAGGTCTAGACAACACAGCACATTCTGTAACCCTTAAATAGAACATACCAGACTGATCCTATACATTCGGCCTTCCCTCTCTCCTGCAGAGAGGGCAAAGGTTTCAGACCTGCAGAGTAAAGGAAACCTTTCACAGCTAAGCAGTAATTTCTTTAGCATGTAGAATCAGAAAGGTAACAAAGGCAGTCTCCATAGCCTGAACTAGCACCTGCTTCAAATTTTGATGAGGAAACAAGGAACAGTGTTTCACCAGCTTGTTTCTTCAGCACAGTCTAAGAGAAAAACATTCCAGGATGGAATCGATCCCCTGAGAAGGTCTGCATGTAATTGTTAACTTAGTGTATAGTGCTTCCCTGAAACTGCTGCAATGTCAGCCTTGTTAGTGTCCTCAGCAGAGCAAAGGATGAGGAAAAAAATAATACTTAAACCACAAAAAAGGAGGAAAAAATGCTTTTATGTCTCTAAAACATGTCCAAATTTCAATTTCAGCTAAGCTTAGTTTAAACTAGTACTTCACTAGTAGTAAACAGTAAACTAGTAGCACATGAACATCTCTTCGCTAACTTATTGCTATTTTGCCTTTCATTAAAAAATTATTACACCTAAATGCAGTTGAATATCATAAAGCTCTTCAATTTTTAAAGCACTTTTACACAATTACTTTGAAGGGAGCCCTGGACAATTAAATGACTCTGTTAAATGAATGCTATAGATTTTTAAATGAATGTTATAAGATTTTTAGTGACATATTGAATTTAACCACCAATGAGAAAAAACAGGCATAAGCAACTTGTGTGTATTTAAATAATGTCTTGCTTGAAAGTTCAATGGATTTTGTATGTTCTAACAATGAAGCTATTAGCAAGACAGCCCAAGCTAAGATTTCTCCTATATTTGGCCTTCATCTTCATGTTTGGTTTTCACCTCCATTAAAAATTTCTTAAAATTTAGAAAACAATTTTTTTTTTATTTTAGGCTTGCAGATACTTATGCCATCCCTGTGCTACATTTAATTCCCACCTTGTGATGATAATGACTGCATTCCTCAGCTTAATTCCCTGGTTAACTTACTGATTTTTCCCTTCTTATTTTACTGATGATCATCTAGAACTGTATAAACAACCCACCCCAAAACCAAACAAAAAATCCATCAAAAAATTCACTGTTCTAAGGAAGCCTGACAACAGAGTTTTGAATGACAGAAAACCCTTGCTGAAATTTATGGGGTTTGTGAGTGATCCAAACAGGACCAGCCCTGCACACTACAGGATTTATTTATCCTTGAACATTATCTATTTAACTCTACATGATTCCCCATGATCATATCAGAAACCGTATCTTGTGCCACAGCACAAGGATAAAGCACTGTTCTTCTGATGACAAACAGCCACTCACTAGAGGTCTTTATTTGATGAAAGAAAAAGAAATTAATAGAAAACTATCCACCAGGGCTGTTATTTCCCTGTAGGTTAAGAAATGGAAAATAAAAATCTCAATGTTGAAGAGATGAGGCTGAAAACCAGGGATCATATATACTCAGTTTCTCTGGTGAAATGAGGTGGAATGACTGTTTCACAGTAGAAAGGCCAGCTACACATATGAAAGTAATATTTATTGGGATCTACAATCTGTCTAAAGCTTTCAACTCTGTAGTCTAACACTAAAAAGAGAAAAAATATTTCGCTGGAGCAGTCAAAACGTGTGAGGATTGGAAGATGCAGGTACAAAATGAATTGATGAAGCATTTGTTGGGAGTATTAAACAAATGAGGCAGCTAAAACAGTATCAACTACACAGTAGGGAATCAGTTTGCTTAACCCAGTGGTTTTTAACCTCCTGACATTTTTACTTCCTTAGACCCAGATATTATTTCTTGCGTCTCCTCTGGGTGCCTGGAGCAGCCCTGATGCAAGCCTCCTCACCTGCTTGCCTCCTGCTCCCAGAACACTCCCATCGCCCACACTGACAGAAAGCACTCATCCATGAAAAAGTGGCGGGGCCATGGGAAGGAAAGTAGGGAAAAAGGAGCCACTTGGCTAGGTACCAGTAGTATTTACCCAAAGAAATTACAATTTTAAATACCCCTGGACTACAGATATCAGCAACATAATACCACTTAAAAGCTATATAGGCCTCACTTTCCTTGGGTCCCATCGCCCACACTGACAGAAAGCACTCATCCATGAAAAAGTGGCGGGGCCATGGGAAGGAAAGTAGGGAAAAAGGAGCCACTTGGCTAGGTACCAGTAGTATTTACCCAAAGAAATTACAATTTTAAATACCCCTGGACTACAGATATCAGCAACATAATACCACTTAAAAGCTATATAGGCCTCACTTTCCTTGGGTTGGGAGAATATTTCATCTAAGCGACCAAGAAAATCCAGGTATTTCACATGCAAGAGATTAATTATTTTTCCTCGTATCTGGGGACAGCTTCCATCCCATCCATCTTTCCCCATCCTCCTCCACCTCAGAGTGCTGAAATAAAAGTAATGGTGCATTTTACTTTAAAAGCCACCTGTGGTTCAGTGAACAGGCTGACATGCTATTTCATGTGAGAAAAGAAGCTGTGATTTAATCTCATTTTCACTAGCTAGATTTCTAGCTAATGTATCTGGAGATAGTTAAGCCTGTGTTCACTGTAAGACATCTGCATCATACACCATTTGGCCCTCTGTATTTTCACAGAGCATAGGTGAAAAATTAGCTGGGTTTCTTACACCTGCTGCGCAACAGTGGTAAATCTCTATGTACTCACAGATGTAGAAATATTCCCGGCCTGGCCTGAACTCAAATCCTAGTGAGAAGGGTGTGAAGAGCTGGAACTTTTCCGAGAACTTTAATGGTCCATTCGGGGAATGCGGCCGATTACACTCCCACCTCTTGAACCCTTTGGAAGTGTGATCACAGGAGCTGTAGCCATCAAAGTTCACCATGTAGAGAACATAGCGTTCGGTCTTATCTTCTGGCACTGAGTCTTCATAGTGAGGGCAGAACACATCCAGGTAGTCGTTGATGCAGACATCGATGTGGTAGTCGCCTCGCTGGAATCTGAAATCACAGGAAGAGTTCAAACGTAAGCACAGTTAACTCAGGATGACCTTGTAGCAGGGTAACATTCTCATAAAAGGGGCATCACTAATGGCACTTCATTTCACTGCAGCCATGCACATTCACTCTCAAAAATAACCCTTACAATTCATCAGAGCTATCAGAGACTGATTATGCACGACTGTGATCATACAACGTTCTGGAAAAAGGTTTTGTTCTGTTCTCTTATAGAATGTGTCTGTTGCTAACACACATCAAGTTATAAGCTATCTTTCCCCATGGTTTATTGGATAAACAAACCAAGTAAGCATCTGCTTTATTTGGTTGTGGGTTTGTTTTTTTAATTGAAGAAAGCAAGAAGCAAAAAAACCCAAACTGTATCAGCCTTCACAAATCAGTGTCCACATAAACACTTGCAAATGCATGCAAATAAATAAGCCAAACATATCTTATTTTCTGAATCAGGCAATAATCACCCCTGTGCTGAAAGCTGATTTGACTGCAAGTACTCACAGTTACTACAGGAGCACAAACAGGTTACTTTTTCTTCATAATTAGCAGCAGTTTGTCAAGAGGCAAAGAAAGGTCTGCATGGCTTTTTAAAGGTATTTGAAAAGCAGTGCTTTTCCTTTGGCAAAAGTACACAGTGGAGACATTGCTCTGCTCAGATAAAAGGATTCTGGGATATGAATTATCAGCACTCAGCCTAATGTGACAGTTCTGAATGACTGCCAGCTGAGAAAGGCAGTGCAAGGCACCAAGCCAGGTGCATTTTATTATTGCTGTTGTTATTACTGATAACTCCTTAGAGATGAGGGATTGTTGTTTTGTGGGGGTGGGGAGGGTGTCTCTTTTCTCCCCCCCATGTTTCACTCGCATTATTTCTCTAATGCCTGCTATACTATCTGGAAGAAACTACAGGAACAAATTCACTCCTTCCATGGGAGCTTATACTATGATGGATATAATGATTCTATAAACCAGGTCTGTACATCCATTAAACTCCCTGGGGCAGCCAAAGAAACCAACCACTGACCTACTCCACTTCAGGCTGACTGGGCTACTTGTAGCTTCTCTCTTTCATGGCTGCAGTTGTCAAGTGTACCACAGAGCAATAAAAAGGCCATGACAGATTTAACTATAATACTTCTTTTTAGCTGACGGGCATATTTTAAACACCTGATGGGCCTGAAATCTGCCATCTGGATCCTTCTATCTAATTTCAGAGAAAAAGCAATGATCTGCTGGCCCTCCAAGGATAAATTCAGAGGAAACTACACCTTTTCATATCCCTACAATAATTTAACTTCAATGAAATAGCTTTTTAAAGGGGAAAAACTGAATACGCATCAAAGCATGATATATCTGTATAATTTCAGCTGGTGCACAGCCTCACAGTTCTACTCTGTAACATGGAAAAGCCTCTCTGAATCACAGTTCTTCCGGGACAATTTACATTTATCTAAATCGTTGGCTAAAACGTATAGTTTTGTGCTCCAGTGCTTTCAAAACCTATCACCTGAACAGACACTTTCTTAACACATTTTCAAAACTGCATTGTTTTCAAATTGGTGTCTGTTCTATGAATCAGTTAATATTATGAGGTTTCTTACAGGTAATGGAAAGAGTATCTTATAAGTCACGAATAGAAAAGCCACATTAAGGCAATGATATCTCTATGATTTTTTTAATTACAATTTCAGTAAGTAAAGCATAATATATTTGTGTGTGTGTGTGTATACGTTTTTTTAACCATACAGGTGACAGACAACATAGTCTTCTCAAGGGATTCTCAAGGCTGTATCAGCCATTGCCTTCACAGTAATGCCCAGTCACAGTTTTGTGATAGAAGCTATATGCTTCCAGAACTATACTTATGTAATGCATTCAAGATCAGAGTGACCACCTCAACATTATGTATATAACACAAATAACCTTATGTGAACTGCTTTTGCGCATTAAGTCAATGGAGAGAAATAGGAACTTCTAAAATCCAATTCATCTGGCCACTTTAGGCCCAAGGTACATTTTAATGAGATGGATCACACTTCTGAGGCAGCTATTCCTCTCCTTTAACCAAAAGAAGAGTCTAGACAGACATTTCCCAGACAGAGTATACTGCAAATAGCTGAATTTGAAGGGAAGAATCCAACCATACAGCCCATGACAATGGAGATGACAAGTACTAAGACACAGACAACTGTGTGATCACACGTTAAATCCATGTTAGCAATGAAATCAAACTCGTATCTGGCACCAGTGAGCTATTCTTCCCAATACTGTAAAAAAAGAGCTCATCTGATGCCTTTTTGGCAAAGTTTCCTACTGTATTCTTGTTAAACAAACAAAACCACAATGCAACTGTTCTCTTTGATCACTGGTATTTTAGTTGATTCCTTCTTATTTCTCCTTTCCTAGTAAGTGTTGAAGCAATTGAGTGTCTTCAATCATCCCTGCACTCCCTTGCCTCTTAAGTGCTGCTCGCAAAGCAGCTCTGTGGGTCAAGCACACAACCAAGTCCTTTTTATCCCAGTGTCTTTTTCCCCCCATCGCCCTGCTCTCTCAACAGTTTCATTTCACAGCCATTTACCACAGCTAGAAAATACTGACATTTACATGTGTAAAAAGGGAAGAAGATGGTACATAGGTGCGTATTTTAAGTGATCTAAACTGGTCTTGATTTTGCTGGCATGGCAGTGAACCAGCTCCAGGGAAAACATGTACCAAGGTCCTTTATCAAGAAGCTCTCAGTGAAGACTCTTTATTCCAGGTTATTAGTCAGCTAATAGCAGGTATTTATTTTCCCTCTTGTACTGTCTTACAGAAGTCAGCAATCAAAACCTCAGCAACTCTACTGAAGAGATGTAGAACTAATTTTATGTTTCTAAATGAGGCTACAACACCTCCAACATGTCAGCGGGAGTGAACTTAGACTATTCCCATTTCTCTAGTTACAATCAGTGTGTTGTATTTACCTCCCCAAAGAGGAAATACAAAGTCCCTTAACCTGAACAGAAACGCCAGGGTTGGCTACAAGTAACTCACAAAAAGATTCATGAGCTCAGACTCCTCAAAGCTATTGAAGGAAACACTATAGAAACACACTTTCAAACATTTTAAACCACATTTGAGAGGGTAATACGTAACATTTACAGGCTAAAAACCTCTTACTAGTAGTGTAATTTCAGGTACTAGAGTGAAACAGAAGTTAGATTTCAAATCAAAGCATTGATCAATGTTTAGTCATCTACCCATGTTGAGCAAAACATGTAAAGGGAAGGTGAAATCTATTAACATACATATTTGCAGAAATGACGGGAATAGCAAATCTCCTGGCCCTCTTCCCAGTCCCCTTTGAACAGTAAGCTTTAATTCTAACACACTCTACTAATGCTGCTGATACACTTTCCCTTTTCTCAGCTATCTCTTCATCCTGTTCTGGCACATCCTAACCCAAACTCCCATACCCATCTGGAACTATGTGGTTATCAGGATCTTTATACAAACCCCACTGCAAGGAATAATCTAGATTTTACATAACAGAACACTGTGTTGTGGTAGAAACAAACCAAAAAGGCTTGTCCGAAAATCTGACAGGATCTACAAACCTTCCTGTCACCAAACACTCTGGCTTACACAGAGCAAAACATGGCTCTTCTTCAAACATAATTAACCTTTGGGTTTTTGTCAGGTAGCATTCAAATAGTGTCTTGGGAACCTACATACTACAAAGCTAGCTATTAGGCAGTACAGCTATAAAAGCCATTTTGAAGACAGAGGCAGATAGTTAAGCAGCTTCTAAACCTAAACATTTCCTTAACCAACAAACATAGCTTACTACACAGAACTTGTGCAGTGCTTCCATTAAAGACTGTCATAGGAATGTTTCTGTGCTCAAGTGCCACTAATGAAGTGTCCAGGTATTCAGGATGCAGAGAAAGAACTTCACGGTGATTTTAACTGCAGAATCACAAGGCTAGCAAAACATTTTAAAAGTGATTAATGTCTTCTGTATTGTGTTTATCCATTAAAAAAAGTGAAAAAACATGGTCTGTGTGCACGCTTCTCTTCATAATTTTAAGTTCTCAAGCATAAGTGGCTGATCTCGAATTTAATAACTTTGCTGGTCACTGAAACAAGTGATGATTTATTTAAATCATACAACAACATGAACAACATTTAGAATGTTCTTTAGAATGCAACAATTTCGCTTGGTTTGTCCCTTTCTTCTTTTCTTTCTTGGAATAAACACTACAAAAAATCCATGTTAAGAACAGCACAAATAACACTAATTGGCCATTGCAATAGCTTCTGCTTGTTGCTTCTCATGCAAATCCTATTAGTTATACTCTATCACCCTTCCTATAAAATTGACATACCAGATGCTCTACTTCAAGGTAAGTGTACTGAAAAATTTTACTATGTCAACCTTTCTTTATTCTGCCAAATGCAGGTGGCAAGGTTTCACTGTGAGCCAGAAAAGAGTTCAAGTAACTTTGTCAGAAAGAGACTTGGGAGTGCTGGTTTACAGCTGGCTCAATATGAGACAACAGTGTGCACAGGTAGCCAAGAAGGCCAATGGCATCTAGTTCTGTATCAAGAATAGTGTGACCAGCAGGTCTAGGGAAGTGATCATCCCCCTGCACCTGGCATTGGTGAGGCCAGGCCACACCTACTGTGTTCAGTTTTGGGCCCCTCAATTAAAAAGGAACATTGAGGTGCTGGAGTAAGTCCACCATAAAAAGTCTAGAACACATGTCGTATGAGGAATGGCTGAGGGAATGGGTTTGTTTAGCCTTGAGAAGAGGCAGTTCAGGGATGACCTCATTGTTCTTTACAACAATGGGGGTTGTACAGAGCTGGGGGATGGTCTCTTCTACCATGCCTGCAGTAAGAGGACTATAGGGGGAACATTGAGGTGCTGGAGTAAGTCCACCATAAAAAGTCTAGAACACATGTCGTATGAGGAATGGCTGAGGGAATGGGTTTGTTTAGCCTTGAGAAGAGGCAGTTCAGGGATGACCTCATT